TCAAGTGCTCACATATCAGGCAGTGCCAACACAGAACATTCCATCACTGTTCAAAGTGTTAAGGACAGCTGTCCTCTGAAGCAGCTGAACAAGTCTGGCCCGCTGCAATCCTTGTTTTCTAAATGAGATAACCAGCAATCGCCCCTCAAGGTCACACAGCTAGAACTGGGGTCCAAAGCCAGCGTCCTGTCCCAGGAGGCCAGAGCGGAGCGGCAGAGGCGGTGGGCTGCCCTCCCAGGGCTCGAAACACACGTGTGAATACAGACACCACTCCCCAGCGCTGTGCACGTGGGTCATTTTCCAACACGCCAGAGACGGCCAATCAGAACGTCTTCACACAGGTTGGCCATCCAGCTTTATCCACACCAGAAACTTGTGCTCTTTAGCATTTAATGATGGCTACAAATGTCTTATGTATGAAACTAGTGGTAAGGAGCTGCGCTGCCAACCCAAAGGCACATGGTTCGAATCCACCAGCAAGCTGCTCTATGGAAAAAAGATGGGCAGTCTCCTCCTGTGCAATTTACTGTCTCTGAAAACCCACTAGAGGGTCGGCTCTGAGTTAGTTCTGACTCAGTGGTACGTAACAAGTGGTTTCTATTTTATTATTATTATTATCATCATCATTTGTGTACCATCAAATCAGATCTAACTGGTACAGGAGGAGATTATCCCTCCTTCTCCAGCAGAGCATCTGGTGGATTCGAACTGCAGCAGTAGTTTCTTAATTAACCTACCCTCCTCTCCCAAAACTGCTGCGGGTCAAGTGATTCTGACCAAGAGGGCCAAGAAGAACTGCACCCCATGGGGTTTCCAAGGCTGTAAGCTTCACAGAGGCACAACACCCCACACTTCTCTCCCACACAGCGGCTACTGAGTTTGAGCTGCCGGGACCTTTCAGTCAGCAGCCGAGCACTTCAACCACTGTGCCACCGGGGCTCCTTAAACAGTCAAATCATTACTCCCACGGGGATCCGGAAAGACAGGGTAATGGTGGACACAGTTCAATGGTGACTATGTTTAAAAAACATAGTGAATTAATCTTACAAAACATGGTGAATGGGAATGAGTATATGAAACACAATGTGAATGGAGGATAGTGTGAATCACTATATACGCAAACTCTGTAGCAAACCAATATTTAAAGGAGAAAAAGTATTCACTTTTCTCCTTGATAAGTAAAAGAAAAACCTCTTCCATTATGAGGGAGGGGGCGGGCAGGGAGAAAAGTGCAACAATGAATGACTGGAAACCCTAAGTCTCTGTAAACTTTCATTAAAATTAATAAAAAAACCCACACTTTTATATTTTAGAAAAAAGTAGGTAAATAATCCCCTAGGTGTAGAATTAATGTTCAGACCTATTAACTGGCTCAAATAGCTGAGACTCACTTCCTAACCTTGTACAGAGAGACGAGAAAAAGCTTCAGTCCTGGGCAGTCTGTGACCAGCTAGTAACTTGGAGGGATCCAGACTGCTTGATCCTCGGAAGGCGGACGCCGCGGCTGCTGCGCAGCTGACTCTGACTCAGAGAAGCCGTACAGGACGCAGCAGAACAGCCCCGAGACGGTGAAGCTCTATGGAAGCAGACTGCCACGCTGCTGTGGGATTTGAACCACCAAGCTTTCACAGAGCAACAGGCTAATCACCGTGGCACCAGGGCTCCTCCCACAAACTCAGAAATACCCAGAATCCTTACAACAGTGAGACAAAGAGGGAAAGCAACTAACTATTCCATTTACCTTTCTCTCAATGACCAAGGAGGATAGAAGGAGAATTGATGCCTTTGAGCTGTGTTGCTGGAGAAGAGTATTGAGAATACCATGGACTGCTAGGAAAACAAACAGATTTGTCCTGGAAAGGGTTAAACCGGGTGGCAAGGATTCTGAGGCTCCGTCTAACATACTTTGGACATGTTGTGAGGAGAGACCGGTCCTTGGAGAGGGACATCATGCTTGGGAGGGTGGAGGGACAGCGCAGGAGAGGAAGGCCCTCTATGAGGTGGATTGATTCAGTGACTGGGATAATTGGGATGGGAGTGTCAGAGACAGTGCAATTGGCACAGAACAGAGCGGAGTTTAGGGCTGTTGTACATAGGGTTGCTAAGAGTTGCAAGCGACTCAACGACACATAACAACAACAACAACATTTAAGTGGGGGGGGGAATGTTCCATTTAAGAAACATGAAGGTCAAAGCACTAAAAATGGGCAGAATGCTGGAAACGCTGCAATGAGTTTTGTTGGGTATCCTGTGGGTCCTCATTCACAGCAAACCCACACCCCTAACAGAATGAAACACTAGCTAGTCCTTCATGGAACATGCTGTCGTCGTTGTTAAGTGTTATCGAGTCACAGGTGACTCAGAGACCCTATGAACGAAAGTCCTCAACACTTGTGTAACTTTCATCCTTTCTCCAGGTTCATAGGGTTTCCAGAGGCAAGCTACTTATGGACGTGGATGTCACTCCTGCTTCCAAGCTTGTTTTAATTGGGGAACTCCCTCAAACACTGTCCGCCACGGGTGACCATTTACCACATTTGATACATCAGTATCACAGGGTTCAGCTTCACAGCAACCACAAGTTACCTCTGTACAGCAAGTGGACAGACCAGGGCCATACGACCTAGAAGAATGCTTGACCAAAAACAATTAAAAACAGGCCTGAGGGCTGCGGATTAAAGTCACCCACCTTTGGCTTGGTAGCATCACTTTCTGTTCACTAGGCCAAATGGTCTCTGTCTATGGAACACAGAGGCTATGAATTCTGTGTTTGCTAGTCGAATGTAATGTCTGCCAGGCAGAACCTGGTCTAAGACATTTTATTATAACCAGATGGTGAAGGGATTGTCCCCTTGGCCTCCTGGAAGTTTCTGAGGCCACTGTTAAGCACCAGAAGAATCAGAGATATATCAGCCAGCAAGGCTTCCTCGGACCTGTTGGTTGCTATGAACTGAGTAGCTTTGTCCCAGCGTGGCTCCCGGCACCTGGATGCAGCCTGGCCTGAGGCTGCCCTTGGCTGAGTTCTCCACATGTTGAGTTTTGGTCACAGTTTAAAATGCCTGGGGAAGGGAAGGCAGAGATATCCCTCAAGCAGACAGCACATAAACCCTAAGAAAAAGGCAGGAATGAAACCACGAGAGACAGGAGGATCGGTGAAAGCCTCGGTTTAATTAGAGACATGATCGAACGATTGATTATCGATCAACGGACCGACTGATCGTCAAGTGGACAACACACAAGAAGCTCACAGGGGTCCTGCACCCACCCTGGGGAGAGGAGCCCTGACTGGGAGTGGGAGGCCCCTCTTGCCAGTCACCCTGGCTCCTGGGGAATGGGGAGGGGGCAGAGGCTCTGCCCAGCCCTGGGCCCGGTGGTGACCCGACGTCCCCGGGTCTATGGTACAGTTGATATAATACAGCAGGAGTGGAAATCCTCCTTCCGGAGGCCCTGCCCTCCTTGCCCTGACGGGGCAGCCAGGGGAGGGCAGGATATATTTTCCCTTTTTGCCTCTAGAATAATTTACAAACCAACCTGACCGCATGTACAAAAGAAGAGAGAAGGGAAAAAGAAAAGGCCCGCTCCAGTCACCGGCTAAGACAGAAACTGCTTTTGCTACAAAAATAAACCCTGTACAGCATCCTGGGGGTGGGAGCGAGTGCCGCTCACCTCTGGGGTGGACAGATGGAAGGCTAGGCTGGGGAGGACTGGATGGGGGGGGGCTACAGTACCGTGTGATCTGAACCAGGGGGGGATGTGCAATGAAAGAGAGACAGCCCCTGCCTTTGCTGAGCTGCAGAGGCCAAGCTGAGGGGCATCGGGGGAGGGGGATCCTTCCTTCTAAGCGGTGTGCCCCCATGGCTTGGAGAAGGTGGTCTTGCATCTCATCTGTCCTATTGCTCATGATCTTGCCAAGGTGAAAGGGGCAGGTGGGTTAAGGGGGTGCCCAGGGGTGGGTGGGCCAGCAGAGAAACGCCTCCAGTGCTGGGGTGGGAAGGGGCGCCCAGGAAGGGGGGTGTGGGTGTACACCGTTATTGCTTCCTCCGAGGGCCAGGGGATGAGGTATGGTCAGAGTCAGGGGTGTGTGTATGGGGGGGGGAGTGCCCAGGACGGGGGCTCTGAGCCTGGCCCCACCCCACTCGAGGTGCAGCTGGGAGCCACTGCAACCCCTTCTCCTATGGCCACGGGGATCATTTAAGGCAGAAACAAGAGGAGAAGCAGCTGGAAAAGGGGTGCAGGTTGGAGCTGCACCCCCCTCAAAACGGAAAAAATCCCAAATGAACTGGAAGGGCAAGGGGGCAGCACAAGGAGGGTGGGGGTCAAGCCTTTAACCAAACCGCAGGCCCAAAGCTGGCGGCATGAGTGACCCTTCACCCCTAAAGTGAACAGCTGCCCCACACACCCCATCCCCCCAGTAAGTATTGCCAGGTTTGTGCAAAAATGAAGCGGAAGACTTCTGGGGGGTGGGGGTGGGGATGGGCAGGAAGCCAGGGAGAGGCGGACTGGGGGCTCCCACAGTGAACCCCCCCAGTCCCACCCAGAATGGCTATTCCTGGCCGAGTTCTGGAAATCTTCCCCAATTCAGGAGAAAAGCCCAGAGGGGACCCCCCCTCCCACCCTGGTGCTGGCCCAGGCTGAGGGGCCGGAAGACAGCCAGGAACCTGGGGCGGGGGGCGGGGTGTGGGAGTCCGGAACAGGAGCGTCTACAGTTGCTGTGTTTCATTCTTTTTTTTTTGTTAGTTTTTTCATTTTTCTAAAAATGTTAACAATTAAAATTCAAAAAATAAAATCCCTTCCCAGACCTCAGCCCCTAACCCCCACCTCCAAAAAAAGGCCCCGTGGGTGGTGGTGGGGGGAGGGGGGAAAAAAAGAAAAGAGAAAAAAACCCTACTTTTCTGTTTTCTTTTTTCTCAGGCCCAAGAGTCTTTGAGGCAGCGAAGGAGGTGGTCGGGGAGTGATGGTGAAAAGGGGCCGGGTGGGACACAGGGGCTGGTGTCCAGGGCTCAGGTGGGGCCAGAACCTGGCCCCCATCTGCTGGGAGCCAGAGATGTGGCTGGGTCCTGGTCACCTGTGCCCGTGCGCGCACTGCCCACTCTCCTGGCATCCTGCTGCTGTTCCCTTTCGGTCCCCACCTCGGCTGGTGTGGAGGGGAGGCCCAGGAGGCCCGGTAGTGGGGTCCTCAAGGCAGGCAGAGAGGGCCTCTCAGGGGACAGGGCCGGGGAGATGCTGTGGCTTATGGCATCCGGAACCATGGACGTGTCCTGGGACAGAGACTGGTCCTGCCCCTGCCCCACAGACCCCATCCTGACCGTGTCTGCTGGCTGTGTTGAGTACCTCTCCTCTACCTCTGTGCAGACATCCTGGCCCTTGACTTCCACGGGGTCTTCAGCTGGGGCAGCAGCGTCCAGGACCTTGGCAGAAGGGTCTTCAGCCGCGGTGGGCACCTTCCGGGCTAACGACAGTTCTTGCACTGTGAATGCATCTGGGGCCGTGGCTGTTAACTGAGCTGTGATCACCTCCTCTTCCTCTTCCTCCTCCAGAGTCAGCTCAAACTGGAACTTGTCAGGTGGGGGGAAGTGGCCTGGCCCCCCAGGCTCCTCCTCGGGCGGTGGGGAAGGGCTCTGCCGGATGGCACTGTAGTACCAGTCCCGGTTGTCCTCCAGCGTATCCAGGATGTCCTGGGCATCGGGGTGGACCAGGTCGGCCCACGTCTCCCACAGCGGGTGCACGATGTAGTCGATGAAGCCCACCTGGGGAGGAGAGAGGCGGCATCAGCAGGGAAGCCGAGATGCATGTGCACACGAGAAGCAGCAATTTTACTTCTCCAGATCCATCCTGCAGAAGTTCTCGTACAAGTTAAGAAAACACAGCACAAAATCACACAGGAGAATGTAAACTAAAAACTGGAAACACCTCACTCTGTAAAGTCCTTACGCTGATGGGGGATTTAGTTGAGGTTTTTAAATCATGGCCCATTACAGGAGGTCACTACAGGTTATGGCACCAGTGAGACTACCTCATGGTAGACAGGTAACACCATGATTCCTTTCTCTCCTCTTTTTTTGGATGGGTTGTTTTTTTTTTAATTTATTTAAGGTACAAAGGAGCAACGATGTCAGTCTGGAGACTAAGGTGCACCTGATACAGGTCATGGTCTTTGCAATCAGTTGCTATGCATCAGAGAGCTGGACAATGACTAGGGATGATAGAAGGAGAGTTGATGCCTTTGAGCTGTGGTGCTAGAAAAGAGTATTGAATATAGCACGGACTGCTAGGAGAACAAACAAGTTCATCCTGGAGAGGGTGAATAAAGCCAGGCTGCTCCATGGAGTCAAGGATTCTGAAGCTTCATCTGACACACTTTGGACATGCAGCAAGGCAGGATCAGTCCTTGGAGAGGGACATCATGCTTGGGAGGGTGGAGGGACAGTGCAGGAGAGGAAGACCCTCATGAGATGGACTGATTCCGTCACTGGGGTAATGGGGATAGGTGTGTCATAGAGAGTAAAGTTGGCAAGAGATAGAGCAGGGCTTAGGGCTGTTGTACATAGGGTCGCTATGGGTCGGAAGCGACTTGATGGCACCTAACAACAACAATAAAAGAAAGTTAAGTTTATTAGAAAGTTAAGTCCCAAGGATGAGACAGACCTTCCACCTTAGAAAGACTGGGGGATATATTTTTAAATTTTGTTGTTATTGTTGAAAATGTACCCAGCAGGACCTACATCAATTCAACTGTTTCTACCAGTCTGCACAATTCAGTGACATTTTAAGTTGTGCAACCAGTCTGATTCCATGTAGATAATTCTGCAAAGAGCACAATGCTCAAGGCAAACATTCTTTCAGAGTTAAGATCAATTGCTGTTTGGTTTAAAGTAGTCTGGTTTTACGGTTTCTAGATAATAGCAGAGCTCGTTCAGCCTCCATTGTTCCAGAAACCATGGATTAGTCTCAGGGGGTTGTCCAGCCTCAATGGTCCCAGGAAGTCTGGATTCCATGAGAATCTGGGATGGTGTTCTGCTCCCTCCCCTCCTTAATCACAGTGCCCTGATGTTCTCCTGGAAGGCACAGCATTCAGCTGAAAATTCTCTTTCCTCATCTCCCCAGCAAACAGAACATGACTACGTGACCACGTACGGGTAGAAGATGCTCTGGGGCTGCCTCAGTCATCACTGGCCCTTCCTCCCTGACGTGTACCCAGAATCCACTGCACTGGTGCCTATGAGAATACATCCTGGAGGTGCAGCGGTTGAGAGCTTAGCTGCTAACATAAACATCGGTGGTTCGAACCCACCAGCTGCTCCATGAGAAAATGTGGTCATCTGCCTCTCTAATTCCTGAGGCCACATCCCTTTGCCCTAAAGAGATGAGGCTGTTGTGGTTTTGTGCTGTTGGGTCAGAACCGACCCAGAGCTGACCCTCCAGCAGGTTTTCAGAGGCAGTTAATCACATAGGAGGAGACTGCTGGTGTACTTGAACCACGTACCTTAACGGTTTGCTACAAGTTGCAATCACCGTTAAAGCCATGGCTTTGGAAAGCAATGGCTTGTGAATGTTATCAATTGTATCAACATGCAATTGCCAGCAAGTGCTCAGCGAATTCCCAGTGGATGACACATACACCAAGTTGATGCCCTTTTACCACTTGGCGGGATCCCAGTGTCCGTGAGGCGTCCCTGAAGATGGCAGCCCCACTCTTCAAAGGGCGGCACAGAAACCCCAGAGGCTCCTGACATGGGCCGACTCTGTGGTGCCTCTGTCCCTGTAACAGAGCCCCTCTCCCTAGACCTTGTCGTACACGGGCATGTTACCAGGAGGCGTCAGTCCTCAGAAAAGGACATGACGCTCAGAAAAGTAAAGGGTCGGTGAAGGAGAGGAAGACCATCAAAGAGGCGGACGGACTCAGCGAGTGGAAGGACGCACTGAGGCAAAGCACAGACTGTGAGCGTGGGGCAGGATCCCGCAGCTCCTGCTCTGCTGGCCCTCGGGTTGCTATGAGTCAGGGCTGACTGGACAGCGCCTCACAGCAACAGCCTTTACCTGGAGTCCCTGGGGCAAACAGGCACTCAGCTATTACGAGCTAGAGGATTGATTGCTCAGACTCGTCCAGGGGCAACCTGGTCATCTACTTCTAAAAGGCCTTGAAAACGTTCTAGTCTGCACACACGGGGTCGCCACACGGAAGCATCAACTTGACCACAACTAGCTAGGGCCAGCATCAAAAGTTTTCTTATCACAACAAGATAAAGGTAAGTAACCCAACTGAAAAATGGACACAGGATATGAATAGACACTTCACCAAAGATGGCCAACAAGCACATGAAGAAACGTTCAAAAGCCCTAGCTCTAAGAGAGATGCAAATCAAAACAACTATGAGATATCATCTCAAACCAGTCAGAAGAGCAACATTTAACGGAACGGCAAACATCAAATGCTGGTGAGGTTGTGGAGAAACTGGAACCCTTATTCACTATTGGTGGCAGTATAAAATGGTGCAACCAACCACTGTGGAAGGCGGTATGGTGCTTTCTCAAAAAGCTGCAAATAGAGACATCATTTGACCCAGCAATTCCACTACTGGGAATTTACCCTAAAGAAACCAGAACTGCCACCCAAGCAGATAGATACACACCCATGTTTACTGCGGCTTTGTTCACAATAGCAAGGAGTTGGAAACAACCTAAGTGCCCATCAACAAACAAATGGATAGAGAAGCTGTGGTATATTCACACAATGGAATACTATGCAGCATTGAAAAACAAGGAATTCATGCAATATTATACAAAATGGATGACCCTGGAAGACATTATGCTAAGTATCTCAGTCACAAAATTACAAATACTGCATGGTACTACTGTTGTAAAACAGGACTGACATTCGGGTTGAGGGAAGACAGAAAAGGAGGGGAGATGTATATTGCATTGAAACAGATGAGGGAAAGAACTGTTTAAAAGGAACATATGAATGGGTATTCTTGTCATTACAGAAGTCCAGAGTGAAGGCTGCACAGTGGAGTGGACTTGGGGGGAGAGGGACTGCTTAACAATCAGTATTTTTCTTTTCAAGGAGAAGAGTGAAATGTGGAAGAGGGGGTGGGTGGGGAGAAAAGTGCAACAATGAATGTCTGGAAACCCTAAGTCTCTGTAAATTTTGATTAAAATTAATTTTTTTAAAAAAGTTTTCTTCTGTGTTGTTGTTATGTGCCGTCGAGTCGCCGGTGACTCACAGAGACTCTCTGTACCACAGCCCTAAAACCTGCTCTACCCTGTGCCAATCTGTCTCCCACATACCTACCCACCCCAGCCCAGTCACTCAATCAATCCACCTTTTAGAGGGTCTTCTTCTTCTGCACTGTCCCTCCACCCTCCCAAGCATGACATCCCTGCATGAGAGAGGAAAAAAGAAAATAAAGCTTTAGCTTACATAAGTCACTGTGACTTCTTAACAGCTAGAAACCTAAATGTCTGTCAACAACAGAAGGACCCAACGGCCCATTATCTGGGAGTGGCAGTTTGAAGCCACCAGCCGCTTTGCGGGAGAAGGATGGGCAGTCTCCTCCAGTGTGACTAACTGCTTCTGAAAACCACCGGAAGGTCAGCTATGGGTCAGTTCCGACTCAAGGCACACAACAACAACAACAACAAGAGGATAAACTCAAGTCTTTTGTGTCACACACAGAAAAAGTCTCCAAGTTCTTGACTGCAATAAATGCAAACTGTACAGTAAAACTAAGGAGCTTTGGTGGACTAGCGGTGAGAAGCTGTGCTGCAATCCCAAAGGCACACAGTTCAAATCCACCAGCTGCTCCACGGGAGAAGGATGGGCAATCTCCTCTTCTGCAATTTACTGCCTCTGACAACCTGCTGGAGGTGTCAGCTAGGATTCGACGGCACACAACAACAACATGGTAAACCTACATCCTGATAGAATGAAAGTTGGGGGAAAAAACCCACAAACATCCCAAACCACCTAGACCTATAAATTACTGAGTTGCCTACAAGCACAATTGTATGAAGCAGTAACAGAACAGGTTCTTAAGGGGTGAGGACGGGGAGTACAGATTCTTTTTCTTACTACGGTATTTTCTTTTTTTTTTTTTTACTACGGTATTTTCAACTGACTGGAGGAGGGTCGTATTTGTTCCCATTCCCAAAAGAGAAATTACCAGACAGTATCATCAATATTACATGTGAGTAAAATCTTGCTGAAGATCATTAAAAAACATTTTAGAACAGCACATTGACGTAGAAATGCCAGAAGTTCCGGGTGGATTTAAAAGAAGCCACAGCTTCTTTTCTTTTCTTTTCTGCTGATGTGAGATGGATCTTGGTTAAACTGAAAGCAGAGTATTCCAGAAGGATATATATTTGGATTTTTATGGACTATGCGAATGTATTGGGCTTTGTGGATCATAACAAATGATGGCTGACGCTGAAAAGACTGGGAATCTCACACTCAATGCTGCTCATGTGAAAGTGAGAGTTAAACCAAGAAACGGGTACAAACAGAACAAGTGAATATGGCGTGGTTCAAAAGCAGGAAAGGGGTGCAGCATGGCTATAACCCTTCTCTAAGCCTCTTCAATCTGTATGCATAACAAATCATCTGAGAAGCTGGACTATATGAAGAATGTGGCAACAGGATCAGAGAAAGACTCAGGAACGTGTGTTATGCGGATGAAAACTCGTTATTTGCTGAAAGTGAGGAGGACTTGAAGCACTTGCTGCAGAGGATCAAAGACTACAGTCTCCAATGTGGCTTGTTGTGAACCACTGAGCTGGAAATGATCCACGGCTGACCCTCCAGCAGGTCTGCAGAGGCAGTAAATCAGACAGAAGCGGATGGTCCGTCTTTCTCCTGTGGAGCAGCAGCTGATGGATGTGAACCACTTGCCTTCAGGATTGCAGCACAGCTTCTTACCACTAGGCAACCAGAACTCCCTTCAAAATGAGTTACATCAAGAAAACAAAAATCCTCACCACTGAGCCAATAGGCAAACATCATGACAGACACAGAAGAGACAGAAAGTGTCAATAATTTCATCTTACTTGGATCCAAAATTAACACCCTTGATACCAGCAGCCAGGAAATCAAAAGACGTGTTGAGCCCCTCAACAAAGGAATGGATAGAGAAGCTCTGGTATATTCACACAATGGAATACTATGCAGCACTGAAAAACAAGGAACTCATGAACTATTATGCTAAGTGGATGACCCTAGAGGACATTATGCTGAGTGAAATATCTCAGTCACAAAAGGACAAATATTGCAGAGGGCCACTGTTGAAAAATGGGACTGACATCAGGGTTGAGGAAGGGGAGAATGATGTATACTGCATTGCAACAGATATGGGAGAGAACTGTTTAAAAGGGACATATGATT